CTGGGAGTGAGACTAAGCTTGTTCTGTTGACCAGGGGTGGGGAACCTGCAGCCTTGAGGCCACATGTGGCCTCCTAGGTCCTTGAGTGTGGCCCTTTGACTGAATCTAAACTTCACAGAACAAATCTTTTTATTGAGGGGATTTCTTCTGTGAAGTTTGGATTCAGTCAAAGGGCCACACTTGAGGACCTAGAGGGCCACATGTTAGTTCACTGGAGAGGAAACAGTGAGAGCTGTTGCTGTAAGGTAGTGAGTTACACTTCATGGAAGGCCTTCCAATGCAGATTGGATGACCCCTTGTTGGAGATGCTATTGGGAGACTTCCTGCCCAGGGACAGACCAGACTAGCTGAGCTCTGGGGTCCCTTCTGGATCAAAGATTTTGAATCTCCAAGGAGACGGGGTCAGCTCAAGGCTCCAGCAAACTAAGCAGTCACCATGTGACCATATATTAATGGGCACCCAAATTGATACCTCTAAGAAATAAGTTTCCAAGCATACAAAGAAAATCCTAGAATCTACCCTGGGAGTGGTCACAGTCCATACCCTACACTACAATCTGGGGCAGAGGAGCCAATGATGGGCCTTAGAAAGGAAATTCTCCTCACTTCCCTCCCCATCAGAAAATACCTCCTGACAAGCACAATGTTCAGAAAAAAAGGGTTACTCTACACATCTGCTGCCTTTATCTCCATTCCCCTTTCTCTCTCTGATATCTTGCAGAGTCACCCACCTACTGGCCCAGATTTTCCATCTTGTTCTGTTGCCTCCTTTTCTGTCTGCTCTGATCTGGTCCTGGCCCCATGGTATTTACCCAGACCCAGATCCCAGCATGCTTATAGTTTCCTAAAAAGTCAAAGTGAACTCTTCTTCCTGAATCATCCTCCTCCACACAGTGTCTCTTACATCCCTATCCCAGAGAGCACCACACTCTGCCTCCTCTTCTCCTTCCCCCCTTCCTCATATATCTTATCTCACCTATCCCCAGGTCAGCTGGGTTCATAGAGTCTCAGCCCAGATTCCAAAGGGTATCGATCTGTCTCCTTGGTCCTCATCTGACAACTGAGCCCAAAAGACCTTCAGATGCCCCCATTCTCTTCCTTCCTTCTCATCACACCCCAAGAATCTGCTCCTGAGGCTCCACCCTTAAAATACTAATCTCCTACATTTGCATAAAGCTTTTTTGCTTTTCCTCTTGGCTTGGCAACTCCAGTCTCTCAGCGATGCCTCAAATCAATCTTCCCATCCATTCGTGTGGGTTCTGGAAGCCTACCACATGGCTGACTGCATTTTCCCTGGGACATGGGGCCACCCAACCTTACAGAGATGAGGCAATGGCTGGTGACCCCAAGAGGTTAAGTCATTGACTCAAGGTCATATAGCAAGGCCACATTCCCCAGGCATGTGAATGGAAGCTGTGGTTAGGAAGAAGAGGTCTTAGGGCTAAGGGACAGGGGTCTATTTTTGGAAATACAAGGGGCATCTGGAGGTTGGCCACTTCCCTTAGGATTCGCCAGTCCCCTGCCACCCTCCTCCAATTTAGATCCATGATTTTCCCTTCCAAAGAGCTAAACATGGCCCCGTGTGTCTGAGCCTTACACAAATCCACACCTCATTTGCTTCTTCTCATCAGTTTCCCACAGTTCTCCACTTACAGGTGTGGCCTCTCTCAGAGACCCCTCACAATCCAGGACAACCTGAGAGAGGGGGTTGGGGAGAAGGGGAGAAAAGAGGCCTGCACAAAGGAAAGGCACAATAGAAGAGTCTCTGAAGGAGCCACAGGGCAGGCCTTGGGGGTATCCCAGGAATTATGGCCATGGGCCAGTAATGGGGGAGGGGGTAAGGTTTACTATGAGGGGACCCTTAGGGAGGACATTGGCTTCAGGGGAAGAAATGATCATAGAGACCACCTCATCTAGGTTCTCATTTTGCAGAGGAAGAAGTAAAGGGAATTCCTAGAGGGGGGGCAATGGATCATCTTCTCCTTAAGCAAGCCTCCTGTTTTCCAGGCCCTCGCCTTTGAGGATGTCCCTCAGGACCCTCTCCCCTCTTCTGTCCCCAGTCCCTTCTCTACCAAGTTCCACAACTGCCCAGATCCCCCTTCAGCCCTAAACTTTCCACAACTGCCCAGATCCCCCTTTAGCCCTAAACTCAATGGGGCAGGAATCAGGATCAACCCCCCTGGCTCCCTCTTGACTGCATCTTCAGCTATAACACAAAAGAGGCCAGACTGAGGGGAGGGTACCTTCCCAGCCCTCGTCCCACCCCCATCTTGCTTATCTGCTCCAGAACAGCAAGGAGAAGACAAGAGCCAAATAGTGGATGTGGGCCCAGCCTAGAGGCCTGGAGCCAGGAAGTGGTTCCGAGCCAGCTAGGAGAAGGGCTGGAAGGTTTCCAGTGCCAGGGCTCCCTCCATCTCTTTGTGTGACCTTGGACAAATCATTCCCCCTCCCCAGGCTTCTGTGAAATAAGGAGATTGGTCTAGATTGCTTCCTTCCAACACTAACATTCTGTTGTCAGAAATCCCTCCCAGATCTGACATTCTGTGTTTTCAGGCCCCTCACAGCTCTGATATTCTGTGTTCTAAAGCTTTCCAGTTCTCACATTCCATATTCTAAGCTCCCTCCCAGCTCTGACATTCTGTGTTCTAAGGCACTTTCCTACTCTAACATTCTGTGATTTAATATCCCCTTTGGCTCTGACATTCCATGCTTCCATGAGTCTGAGATTCTATTCCATTCGTCCATTCACTGAACATTGTTTCCTAAACTATGTTTCCTAGAGTCTGAGACTTGGCTCCAGCTTCTTCTGGCTACTATGAAGAGCGTAAAGAACCCAGGAAATATTCCCAATGCAAAAGCCAGTCCAACCACTTTGTACGGGGAGTGAAGGAGAAAGGGAGGAGTGATCTCCTACAATGCTGAAGGACTCCTAAAATTTCAATCCACCCACAGGAAAGCAAGGCTGGCGCTGAGCTGAGCAAAGATGGCAAAGCTCCGGTGGAGCAGGTAACGCAGGAAGTTGGATTCTGGGTCCCCTGTCCAGAGGACAGGGTGGGAGAAAGGATCACTGGGTTTTTGAAATACCCCAAGAGCTGGGACAGGAACAATAGTATGTCACAAATAGTTGCTTCATAAGTAGTGCTTTGCCATTTCTAAAATTCCCCCCCCGCTTTGATCCATTATTTTATTTGACCCTCATAACAACCTTCTGAGGAGAGGCAGGGCAGGGCTTGTTTCTCTCATTTACCAAAAATGAACTGAAGCCCAGGGAGGGCTATGATTTGCCTGAGGTCACACAGTGAGTTAAAGGTGGAGCCTGGCTAGAAGCTGGATCTCCTAACCCCCAGCCTCTGTCCACAATGCTCCTATCACCAATTCTTAAGGAAGACGGATTGGTTCTGGTCTGCTTGATCCCAGGGGTTAGGACTGGGAGGTGTAATCAGTGGAAGTTACAGGGATGGAGATTCCAGATCAGTAGAGTGAGGATTGCCAACCCCTGGCATTTCCGACAATGAAATGGGCTGCCCCTGGTAGCAGGATGCTAAGGTCTTCAAGCAGTGGCCGGGTGACCAGCTGTTGGGGACACTGTAGAGAAGATTCCTGCTTTGGGCGGCAGTTGGCCTACATGCCTTTTCTGAGGTCCCTTTCAGCTCTGAGATTCTGAGGGACTGCCAAAAGAGGGAATGGGTGAGATGCTGACTGGAGAATTTTCAAAGTCATTCCCTATCCCCCACGCCCACCAATGACATTCCTCAGTCCTCAGACTCTCATTGGTACAGTCTGGCCAGATCAGACATCTGAGGGGCCCATAGAGAGGGCAGCAATGCACAACCTCATTCCATGCTATACCTGGGCTCAGGGCTTGAACGTGCCCTGACTTGCCCAGCATCTCCAAATACAGTCCTTGACCGCCCCACCTATGGGCACCGAAGTTGACCTCCCCACCTCCATCTATCCCTCCCCAATAGCCTAGAGGAAGGTGGGGAAATGAGAAGGCATAGCCAGGAAAGGGACCATCCTGCCATGCTCTCTGTGAAGCCACCTTCCAGATGCTAATTCAGGCACACTGAGTGGGCACCATGCCACAGTTCTCTGGATAGTGGCATCTACTGGCATGGGCTGGCAGGCCTGGAGGCACGGTGCCTGCTATTTTCATGGCTGATGTGTTTACAGACACACTCTCCAGCTTCAAGCTGGCACCAGGCTCATCCCCACTGATCCGACACCAACATGGAGACAACTCGTCCTCAGAGCCAGGGATGCTCCTGCTGCGCCGAATTAAAGTGGTCAGTCAAGGCTGATTAATCACAGAACCCAAGCCTGTCCCCCTCTTCTCAATATTGTCCAGAAGTGGAATAGGCCACCCTGGGAGGCATGAGGGTTTAGCTGTAGTCAATGGAGGATAAAAGTAAAAGAAAATGGGTTTGTTACCTCATGGGGAAAAAGTGGGGGACACACTTGTCCATAAAGGAAAGGTAGAAAATGATGGGGTTACCTACAGAAGGACGATGACAAATGATGGGTTTGACCATAGAAGGAAGGTGAGGGACACTGGAGGGAGGTCAAGGGAATTTGGTTTACTGATGGAAAAAGGGTGGGAGACTTTTTTTTTCATTCAACCAATCAACCAACCAACCCTACTATGTGCCAGGCATGTGGTAAGCACTGGACATTGGATCTCTCCATGGGGAGAAGCAAGGACCTTTGGTTTTGTCCATGAGGAAAGGCAGGGGACATTAGGAATTCTAGGTTTCCCCAGTGGGGAAAGGCATAGGACAGCGGGAGCTCTGGCCTTGTCCATGGGAAAAGATGGGCACTGGGTTTGTCCATGGGGAGAGACTGTGAACCTTGGATTTGTCTAGAGGGAAAGGCAGGGAGACAAAGGGTTTGTCCGTGAAGAGGGGTGAAAGACACTGGTCTAACCACAGGGAGAAAGGGGTCCCTGAATTTTCCCCTGGGAACTCAAATGGCGTCCCTCCCACCCTCCCTACCCAACTCACCCTTTGCGAATGATGATAATGATGGCCCCCAAGAGGATAATGAGGACCACAAGACCCCCAGCGCAGACACCTAGAATCAGGCCCATCTCCTCTGAGTGCTGGGATACCTCCAGGGGCCGCTTACTTTCCTTGCAGGCAGCTGGGGAGACAGAAAGCCCAGAGCAAGGAGTCAGAGGGGAGCCCTAAGACCACCCTGCAGAACCACAGATGACAGTGCAACTCTCATGTGAAGTGACATGAATACAAACAGAAACACACCCATGGTCACATGCACACTCTCTGATATGGATTTCCCTCAAAGCTTCCTTCACCATCAAATCCAAAAGCCTCAGCTTGGTATTCAAGACCCTCCCTTAATCTGGCCACAACTATTTATCCAACCATATGCCTCTTTCCTCTGGACCAATAATAAAAATAGTTCCATTTATCTAAGCCTAGCTTGCAAAACGCTTTCTTTAGAACAGCCCTGTGAGATAGGTAAACAAAGCAAACACTATTATCCCCATTTTACAGGTTGAATGCAGTACATCTCTACTAAGCACCTAATATGCAATGAATAGGGGCAACTAGGTGGTGCCCCTATAGTCAGGAAGACTCGTCTTCCTGAGTTCAAATCTGACTGTAGACACTTACTAGCTGTATGACCCTGGGCAAGTCACTTCACCCTGTTTGCCTTGGTTTCCTCATCTGTCAAATAAGCTGGAGAAGGAAATGGGAAACCACTACAAGTGTCTTTGCCAAGAAAGCCTCAAATGGTATAGCAAAGAGTTGGACACAACTGAAATGAAATATATTTATTATATACTTTTTTAAAGCAAACTGTACCTAACAGGTTCACATATAATTCTCTTTTTCTGCTCTGCTTGGTATACGAACATGTTGTCTTGGCGGGCAGTAGAGGGGTATTGATTAAATTCAGAGTAATTTTTTAATGCTTTTGTATTGATTGATGGACCAATGTGCCTCTATGTGTCCATATGCTCAGCCTTCAGAGGCTTAAGGAGAAAACATTATGTCCCACAATAGAGCAGCAGCATTGTTACTAGACTATAAGCTGCTCAAATGCAGAGACTAGTTAATTTCTCTTTGGTCTCTCTTTGGGCCTTGCATGATGGCAATGATGGTGATGGAGAAGATGGTAACTGATAATGAAGATAACAGCTGACCCTGCAGCCTGGGCTAGGGAAAGTGATAGAGGATGATACCTAATCAGGCTTCAGAAAAGGATAGACTGTTTCCTGGGGGATGTCAGAACCGGAGGTCTGCAGGATTTCTCCGCCTTGCCTCCCACCCCAACCCCACTCTCACCTGGGAAACTCCCATGAGCGAGGATAAAGGAATCGGAACAGTCTAGATTCTAGACTGTCTAGAATCTAGACTGTCCTTTTATTAGACAAATCTTTTTATTAAGGGGATTTGTTCCGTGAAACTTGGATTCAGTCAAAGGGCCACACTTGAGGACCTAAAGGGCCACATGTGGCCTCAAGGTCGAAGGTTCCCCACCCCTGGTCTAGATAGAACCCAGAATGCTGGGATATAAAAGGACCAAATCCACTATTTAGCAGATGTGGAGAGAAGTGACCTGCCTTATAGAATACACAGAAAGCTAGAAGTCAAGTCAGGACCAGAACCCAGGATTCCTGACTCCTAACATAACTATACCAAAAGGTGCCTCAACTTTAGTCTGATGACCTCTGACTAGCCTTGGTACAGCCACACACTTCAGGAGAGGTTAGAGGGCTGCAGCGCCAGCCTTCCCCCAGCCCCCAGCTCCCAGCCCCACCTCCACCTGACAGCACAGCCCTACTCCCTCCCTCCATGGCTTGCCCCCACACCATTCCTCAATTCCACCCAGTGATATATGGCTTTTCTTCAGGGAATTTCTTCAGCCACCAAGTAGTGGTTGCCCAGCTATTCCTAGGCAGCCATCCTCCCTGTCTTCCTTTGTGGATGGGGACAGCAGACTAGCCATCTGTGCTCTCAGACCTAGATTGTGACCTCCCAGGCTGCCCTGAGCCTAAGGCCAGGCATCAGCTCCTGGCCTCCTCCAGCCTCCTCCCTCCACGCCTGAGCTACTTAGCCTTCCCAGGGGTCATCCGTGTATCCCAGTAGAAACCTGCCCACTTTGGCTTTCTCAGGCTCTGCCTTGAGACCTGTCCCCTCCCCTCCCCCTGCCCAGAGCTAAGATATTCCTGCTCTCCCTGTACTGGACAAAAGAACAGAATGTCTCAGCCAAGCTCAGCAGCAACTTCATTAGCTCCCCAAATGTCACACCCTAGGAAAGCATCAGGCCACAGCTGCCTAATTAGTCCGAACTATAAACAAGAGGGAAGCAAGGCAGAGAAATCCTGCAGACCTTCACTCTGACATCCCCCAAACTGTGGTAAGGGCGGGGTGAGGGGGAGAGATTCCCCTCTGCCTCCAACTGCCAGGAAGTCAAGCATCAAGCTTTTCGTAAATGCTTCCAAGTGCCAGACGCTATGCTGCTGAGTGCTAGGGATGAGAAAAATGGGGAAAAAAAAACAGATCTTGTCCTCAAGGGGCTCACACCCCAATAGGTAAGACAACATGCAAATAACTGTATAGCCAATGGCCTGAATGGATACAAAGAGAAGCTGATATATGTGCGTGCACGTGTGTGTGTGTGTGTGTGTGTGTGTGTGTGTGTGTGTAAATCTTAAAAGGAAGGTACTAGCTGCTGAGGGGGAGGGGGAGACAAAGAAAGGCCTCCTACCATCCTTTGATGATCCAACCCTAGACACATACCCCTTCCCCTCTGCCTTTGCTACACATCCTTTCTCTCTTAAAGCTACTCTATGTGGAGATATAATTAAAGACTTGGAGAATATCAGAGCTGCAAGAGGCCCTGGGGACCATCTACCCCAATGCTATTATTTTGGAGATGAGGAAACTGAGGAGAAATTAAGTGACTTGTTTAATGTCTCATGGCTAGTAAGTATCAGGCTCGAGACTTGAACTCATCAGGCACCAACCTGCCCAAACAAACCACATTAACAGCCCCAGGCTATCATCCAGGTGGAGACTAATCTAACACAAACATAACATGCACATAACTCTAGTTCTGTGTAACCTATTCTGCTCAAACACAGCACACATACAGGTGGCTCCATATATATGGGTGTTCAAACATTGCACACATATGTAGCTCCACATATATGGCCAACCTTCTCCAATGGTGATGGGGATCAATCAGTTGCCCACGCATGGCCAATCCCACTGGACATGCTCATACACAGCCTTTCTATGGATGGCCCTCACCCCCACCTCCCCAAAGCAAGCTCAGTGAAAAGCCAGCCAGTAATTCTGTGAACCAAAGAGAAGTGGGTATATTTATAAAAATGGAGGAGTGTGGTTAGGTTGGTGGAGGGGTGGGGTTTAGGAGGTGCAGAGGAACAGGCAGGGTCCTACCTTTGCGAGCTATCCGAATACAGTTCAGCCGGGTTTCCTGAGGAGACACATGAGACAGGGCAGGTCAACACCACTAAGCCTGGCATTCAGGGCCAGTCACATTCTTGAGGCCTCCCCAACCTCCCAGGACTGTGCCCACAAAGCCTGCTGCCCTCTCTTTCATAGCTGTCACTCGGGCTGGTTTGGAGGATCAAGTCAGGGCTCAGATGCCCAAATCAGGGGCACATTCCAGAGGCATGAAATAAACTGAGGAAAACCCTAAGAAGGAAGAAGACTGAGGGAGGGAGCCTCATTGTACAAATGAGGAGACTGAGGCCCAGAAAAGTTCAGTGACTCACCTAAGGTCATGGCAGGTACTAAGTAGCACAGCCCGGATTTACATCCAGATACTGACTCCAGATCTGGAACTCTTTCCACTACCCCCTCAATGCCTCTGAGCATCAAGAGAAGGTTTGGACTGGGGAGCAGCATTTGTTGAACCTCCTGGCCACTGTACCCCATAACCTGGCTCCCAGGGAAGAGTACGGCTAGTTCCAAGAAGAAAAGGGGAGTATCCCAGGCCCTGCCCCAGCCCCAGCCTGCTCCTCACCCCCTTCAAGTGGCTTGTGGCCTGGAAGTAGATGAGATATGCCTTCTTGGGCTCCAGGGGGGGATTCCAATAGCCTCGGTATGTCTGGTTGTCGCCCACAGTGAAAGGTGTGGCCTCCAAGAGGCTGCTGGCTGGCAGCTCTGCCCCAAAATAATGTACCGCGCCCCGGGCAAGGGCAGCATCAAAGGTCAATGGCACTGGGAAGCAGTCCTGAGCCCCAGGCTCCCGCTTCATTCTCCGGGCACGGTCCTCTTCCACTATCACCTGGTAAACACTGAGCACATGAGAAACAAGCCAGTCAGAGGCCCCCAGGGCATCAGGACAGGGTGCAGAGGGAGCCTGGAAAGAGACCTGAGGGCAGAAACCACCCCCCCCAGATTACCTTAGCAGCGTCAGGGGGCCCTGAAGGCTCACTAAAATCCTGTGCCCATCCCCCCACACACGCACACACACACACATACATACACACACAGGAATGGAGCTCTAGAGCTGAAAGAGACCTCTAAAGCCATCTAGCCCAATTCTCTCATTTTACAGAAGAGAAAACTCTGGTCCAGAAAGTTTAAATGAGTTGTCAAAGGTCACACAGGCAGTAACATCAGAAGAAGGATTGGAACTCAGGACCTGACTTGAATTCCATCATCTTTTCCACTGAATCACTTTGCTCACCCAAATCCAGGGCCACTGGCCACCTATCCTTGAGTCAGACCCAGGATCTCTCTGGCCAAGGATTCTGTCTCTGGCAGCAGAACCAAAGAGGAAATGTAGGAGGCCACGCCTTCCCACACCTTCCTGCTGCCTTTCCAAGGTCAGAGCCCTGGCTTACGGAGCCAGGTAGACCAGGCTCAGCTACTAATTCAATGGACACCTTACCTCTCTGGGCTTCAATTTCCCACTCTGTAAAATAAAGGGTTTGGACTAGGTGATCAGTGAGAAAAGAAACGGCCCCTCCTAGTTCTGATATTCTGAGTTCTAAGGGCCCTCCCAGCTCTGACACCCTGTGTTCTAAGGGCCCTCCCAGCTGACATTTTGGGTTCCAGCTCACACACTCTGTGGTCTAAGATGTACACACATACACACACACACACACACACACACACACACACACACACACACATTCTCCATGCTCTAAAATGCTATGATTTTACATTGCCTTAGTAACCCATTATGGCTTTGTCAGCCATGGATTTAGCTAAACATTTTTGAAGCTATTTATATTTTCAATCCATCCCACCTCTTGGGCTAACTATTTCCATGAAATATAACAATAGTTTCCCATTCTATAGCACTTAATAGCTACAGCACCCCCTCACACGTAAGTAGTGCATATTTATATTATTATCCCTATAGAGAGACACCAAGACTCAGCAAGTGAAATTAACTTGCCCGAGGTCACTTAGCTAGTCAATCATAGAGTGTGGACCTAACTCTGGAGAGCCATTGATTTAGGGGCAACAGGGTGTAGTAGATAGAGCAATGGGTTTGGAGTCAGGGAAAACTGGATTTTAATTCTGTTTCTGACACCATGTGGTTTGAGCCATACATTTAACCCCTCTGAGCCTCAGTTTACTGATCTGTAAAAGAGGGACAATAATAATCCCAACAGTATTTACTTTATGGTTTTGTGGTGAGGATCAAATGAAACAATGGGAGGAATCTTAGAAGGCATCAAGTCCAACAGATAAGGAAACCGAGGGCCAGAGTGGTTAAGTAACTTGGCCAAGGTCATTCAGCTAATAAGTGTCCAAGATGGAACTGAAACCCCGGTCTTCTTGCTCCCAAGTCTGCGGCCTGCTGCAGTTCAATATTTATGCAACTAGAGATTGATAACATAGGTAAAGCACCTCGAACACCTTAAGGTGTTACAGAAATATCAGCTGATATCATTCTGAGATTTGACGAGTAAGTCCCTGTTTTCCCTCTACTGTATTGATTGGTTTGTAAACTTTAATCCTGTCCCGTTCATTTTCATCTTGCCAGATTATGCCTCTACATTAGCATTCTCCTCTTCCCCCACCCCACCCCCCAATCCTCTTGATCATCTAATTATCTTCCCTATTCCCCTTGTTCAGCTCCATAAAAACTCTCTTTGGGGACAGTGACCAGCCCTGCACATGGACTTCTGAGGTGGAGGCTGGAGACTATGATGTGTGGTTTTTTTTTCTCCCAATCCCATTCCAAAGCCATAAATTTGGTCTTTTTCATGGCGGCAGCGTATAAGCACTGACTTTTGGACCACTTTTCCTGGTTGGTCTCTCAGAATTCATCATCCCACAAGCATGGCTAGGAAACAGAGAGACAAAAAAAGAAACACATGGAGAAAGGATCAGAGGATCAGAGGACCATAGATTTAGAGTTGGAAGGCACCATAGAAGCAACTGAGTCCAATACCCTCATTTTATAGATGAGGAAACTGAGGCAGACAGAGGTTAAATGACTTGCCTAGGTTCACACAGCTAGTAAGTATCTCAGGCAGGTTTGGAACTCAGGTCTCCCTGACTCCAAGTCCCCTCCTCCTAGGGGAGGAATAGAGAGAAGAAAGAAGGGAAATATGTAGCCTAACAAATGAGATGACACATGTAAAGCACGTTATATGTAAAGCACATGTAAAAGCCTCTATAAATGCTTGTTCTTACTCTCCCATTCAGCTGATGTCACCAAGCCTCTGGAAAGCAGTTAAAAGGATCAGCCCCCTCCTCAATTAATTCTCTGACTTCTGGGGAAGTGAGGGGGCCTTCGGATCCAAGACAGAGCCCACTATCTCTGGGCACTATCTCTGTAATTGCTTCTCTCAGTCCAAGCCCAGGCCCCTCCTCCGCAGAGTCGGCTGTGCCCTCAATCTGATAGCTCAGCCGGCCCTGACTATTTTCTCTGGCCCCCATCTGAGAGCTTGGAAGGCAGGGTGAAGGGAAGGATGAGTCACACAGTCCCTCTGGAGAGATGGTCCCAGACAGAGATAGCCTCCCTCTGCCCAGAAAAAAGCAATTGTGAAGCAATGACCCTTCCCACGAATCACTAATGTGAGTCCCATATGGCTTGATGCACTGCAACTAAGGTACAATAAACACTAGAAGATTTCTGGGGAATGTTCCCTGGCTGGGGGATATGACCTGTAAAAATCTAAACCCAAGGATGCGGATGGAACCAGCGGGGAGAATGGGACACACATCAGAAAGCTTAACTGGATACCATTGGTGACAATCTGGTCCAGCCTTGCAAATGGGGAGTGGAATCAGCCAAACTGGCCTGCCCTTCTCCTCACAAACAACCCTCCCATCTGGCTATCCCACATGCCTGGAAGGCACTCCCTTCCTACCTCCACTTCAGAAAGTACCTCTTTCTTTAAGATACAGCTCAAACACCATCTCCTGAATGAAGATTTTCCTGATTCCCCCAACAGCTAAAACCCCTCTTCCCAAATAACTACTGTGTGTGTGTATATATATTATACATATAAACATATATGTGTGTGTATATTTGTGGATATATGTATATGTGTATAAATACGTATGTATATTTACATATATTTGTGTGTGTGTGTGTGTGTGTGTGTGTAAATTCTCAGAGAAGTGCTCAGAGAAAGGAAGGGACTAGTCCAAGGACATGTGTCAGAGATAGGACCTGAACTCAGGTCATCCTGATTCCAAGGCCTCTCAATGAGAATTGTCCAAAAGTGGAAGGGGCCAAACGGAGGGGGAGGGGAGCTCCCCCTCCTTGGAGATCCATGTATTTTATAGTGATGATTCTTTTAGGGAATGGATTGGATGGGGATGGCTCCTAACCGTCCTTCCCCTCCAACTCCCAAACTGTGTGGTTCTGAGGGTCCTGTCGGTGGAGGTCTGTAACTGGAGGCTGGATGGTGACTTCTCAGGGAAGCTGTGGAGGGGGTTGGATTAGATGCCCTCGAAGCCCCCTTCCAACCCTGAGATTCCATGGGATTGAGAGAAGATGATGTTAGGGAAGTCAGATCAAGGTCACGGTGAGCCTTAAGGCAACGTGAAGCCAAACCCAGAGGTTGGTAAGAGGGGAAGAGAAAGCCAGGCTGGCCACCAGGGTCAGGTTGAGGACATCTCAGGTTAGGATCTCCCTGCTCTATGGCCAGATCATTCTGGGCTCTGGAAATTCATGCTCTTTTGCCCTAATTTGTAAAACTTTAAGGACATGAGCCTTCCAATGTGGGTCCTCTCCCCGCTCCCCTGACAGAGATCACAATCCCTCTATACCTCAGTACTCAGGCTTTGAGAGTGGCAGGAACTGAAAAATTACAGCCTTGCATAATGAGCATCTCTGAACACAGCCAGACTAGTTCTGAATCAGGTCTGCCCTTGAACCCTTTCCAGCATGGTAGGCCTGTTATACCTTGCATGCTGATGACTCGCAAAGCCTTTGGGAATCCCCGGTCACTTTCACACCATGGCAGCAACAGAGGATTTTATTTCACTTTGTGGAAGTGAAGTCCTTTGGGGAAATATTATCATTATTATAGATATTAACTAATTCATATTATTAACAATGATAACAAGCATTTATATAACATTTTAAGATTTGCAAAGCACTTTATGTATATTGTTTCACTTGATTCTCACAACAACCCTGAAAGATAGGTGCTATTATCCCCATTTTGCACACAAGGAAACCAAGCCTGAGAGGTGATATGACTTGTCCATGGTCATACAGCTAGTAAGTGTCTGAGGCAGGATTCAAACTCAGGTCTTGCTGATTCCAAGGACCAGAGGTTAAGACTTACTGAGCTGCCCCAAAATGGAGGCCAGGCTATCATTTCCACAAGAGGAAAACTGGGAACACCAGAGGAGAAAAGCAATCTGACAGGAGAGGCTTGGGGTCAGGGTGGGAGAACTTCTATACAGATTAGCCACAAAACCAGTTCATTGTCCCATCTTCATCAGGCAGGCTGTGGAAAGGAGGGCCAACCCTATTGCAGTCTGCTCTTCCCAGGGATGGCTCCAGGAAAGAGGGAGCTTCAAGCTTCTCTCTCTCTCTCTTGCCCTGTGGCTATGAAAACCCACCCAATGAGAAGCTCTTCTACCTCCCTGTCTCCATGGTAACAAGCCAGACACCACTTACTACCATCTCTGGGGGCAATGGGGAGAGTGGGGAATAGGCGTTGCCCCCCAGAGTAGTACCAGTGTTGTCATTACTAGTATAAATAATGATATTAATGATATTATGGAAGCAGCCCTCTTAACAACATCCAAAAAATCCCCACAAACATAACCCTCTCTCATGAGTTGGGGGCAGGTAAGGGGAAAAGAAGTATATTCCTTATTGATCACAAATGAGGCAGCTACCTGGGGTCCTTCCCCAGGTTTCGGTGGCTCTCCATCCCATGACCGGGCATCCATCTCAGACAGAATTCCAACACACAACCCCTAACCTCTTACCTCCTTACATACTTTACAACCCTCACCCCTTCAACTCCTGTAGGTTTAAGAAGAGGAGCTAGAGGGGCCCTAGCCTATTTGTATGATGGCAAAAAAAGACAAAGAAAAGTAAGGTCTCCCAAAGTGTACAATGTCTAGTGACTAGTGTGTCTACACTGACTGGTGTCCCTCAGTGATCAGTGTCTTCCATATCCAACATGCAGAGTAACCAGCATCCCACTAGCCAACATCCCCTGAGGGTGACCAGGGTCCACAGTCACCAATATCCTTAATGACCAGGGTCCACAGCAACCACTATCCTCAGCCATCAGCGTCCATAGTATCCAGAGTGACCAACATCCTTGGAGTCCAGGATCCATAATGAATAACATAACTATATGATTCATATCCCTAGCAACTAGGAGCAACAATGACCAATGTCCTTAGTGACCAGTATTCTCAGGGACCACCATCCTCAGTGACTAGTATCCAGGGGTGAGGAACCTGCAGCCTTGAGGCCACAAGTGGCCTTCTAGGTCCTTGAGTGTGGCCCTTTGACTGAGTCCAAGTTGTACTGGACAAATTCTTTTATTAAGGAGATTTGTTCTGGGAAGTTTGGATTCAGTCAAAGGACCACATTTGAGGAGCTAAAGGGCCACATGTGGCCCCGAGGCCACAGGTTCCCCACCCTTGCTAGTATCTCTAGTGACCAAAACCTCAGGGAACAGAGTCCTCAGTGACTAGGGTGCATAAAGTCAAGACTGGAGCTGAAAAGCAGCACTCCAACCAAAACCTCCAGAGGAAAAATGACCTCCCCCCAGCCCTACCATATTTCCTTTCTAGGCCACAGGCCTTCAGAAAACAATCCCTTCTCACTGGGTTCAGCCTCCAGCAAAGAGGAAGAAGGACCAGAGATGAAAATGGAGTTGGGGACATGGGAAAGGGGTGAGGGAGCTAGTATTATACAAAAGAATAGAACCACAAATCAAAGGAGAAGAAATGTAATCGGGTAGATAGGACAAAGGTAGAGAAAGAACAAACAGGCAGAGGGAAAAAAGGTCCCACAGGACCCACTTGTCCCCAACATCACTCACACCCAGCCCTCCCCACTGAGCATCCCTACCTGATGGGGGCTCCACGTCCTTGCGCTGGCCTCAGCAGCACTGTGATAGTGCTCTCCGACTCCCCCAGTGGGGATGGCATGTCCCCATAGTCAAAGCTCGGAGCTGGGAAAGGAGAGATGGGGAGGAGTGAACCAGGGACCAGGGGGAAAGTCTGAATCCAGAGCATCCTGGATTCCAAACATCATGACCATTGTCCCCTAGACTCCTATGTCCCTGACCTCTCTGTTCCCTTAATACCCAAGGCTCCTGATCTCTCCTGTCCCTAGACTCCCACACATGTTCAACCTTTAGCCTCCCTGATCTTTCAATCCTCAGCTTTCCTCATCCCTAGAATCCACCCTTCTTGATTACTTAATCTCCAGCCTCCCCAAACGTTCAGCCCCCAGGCTCCCCAATCCCTTGGTCCCAGCCTCCCTGACATCTATGACCACTTAACAGCCAAGCTTCCTGTCCCTCCTGTCCTCAGCCTCCTTGATCCTTCAGTCCCCAGTTTGACCAATCCCTTACTCTCAAGCCTCGATTATCCTTTTGTCCCTGATCTCAGTGACCCTGACCATCCAACCTTCATGACTCCCCTGGTTCCCTGACCCCTCTACTCCTTCAGTCCTTAGGCTCCTAAACACCTCAGTTTCCTGCCTCCCTGACCCTTCAGAGTCCAGTCCCCCCCCTACATCTTTAGGCCTCCAACCTCCATCACTCTATCTACAACCTCTCTGACCTCTTCATATCCAACTTTCTTAAATTCTCCCAGCTCCTTCATTTCCAATGATCCTTCATTTCTTCCCTAAACCTTCAGTCTCTAGTCCTCTGATTCTTTTGGTCCCCAACCTCCATGATCCCTCTAGAACCATGGTCTCTCTAACCTCCTTTCCCCTGACCTCTCACTGATGAAGAAGTCCCTAGCATGCCTGATACTTCAGTCCCCAGCCTCCCTGACACTCCCATCACCAGTCTCCCTGACATCACTATCTTCTGCTTCTCTGTCCCCTGCCTTCCTAACTCCTCTGGGAAATACCAAAAGGGCCAGGGACAGGGTCTAGATCTGTGATTTCATTGGTATAGGGAACTTCTAGGTGAAGAAACTTCCCCTACCAACACAGGTCAGCACCTTCTCTGCAACCACAGTCTTAGAGGGTTTCCTGAGTTCTGAGACATTAAATACCCAAGGTCACACAGCCTATATTAGATATGGGAAATGAACTCAGGGCTTCCAGGCTCCAGGACCAGCTCTCTACCTGGTATTCCATGCTGCCTCTCTGTGTTGGGAGGACTAATAGCACACTGAAAATAAACAAAAAAGACACTGACTGACCCTCCAGGTAGAAGGGACAAAGCTCTTCCCAAGGACAGCAAGATATGTGCTCAGAAACCAGAAAAGATAGGTCAAAATGGAACCAGAAACGGAACTGAGCCCTTGGACATTGCATGATAGCCTATTTTGGGGAGGGGTAACCCCCTCATACCCAGATGCCCCCATGAATAATCACCCAAGCATCCAGAGCCCACTTCTCCACCTCTTATTCCTCCAATCCAATGATGGTCCCAATCCATGTCAGATTTCCATCAGAATCCCCCACACTATATTCCAATCCATAGGACTAGCCCTCCCCACACTGGGGCCTATGTTAGGGGGTAAGGAAGGTGGTTGCTCACCGGAGATGTTGGTGGTGATCTCAGTGAGCGCCGTCTGGCCAAAGCCCTTGCCGGTCTTTGCCCTCACAGAGAACAGGTATGTGGTACCCGGATGCAGGTTGGAGAACACATGGTAGGTCTCATTTCTGAGCTTGGACACTGTGCGTCTGGGGCCAGGCACATTCACTGCAGGATCTGATGACTCAATGCTTTGATAGCTGATCTGGAGACAGGCCAAGGGGGAGAAAAGTCACAGAGAAGAGGGTGTCATTGTCAGGGACCACTGGGGTTTAAAGAAGGAAGAACAACCGGAGCTTTGTGGATGACCTCCCCAATTTTCTATCTCCCTTCTCCCCAAATCTAGACACTTCCTGCCTCTCACCTCTTTATCCCACAGAATCCTAGAATCAGAAGGTACTGTAGATGACAACTTCTTTTCTTCCTTCTGCTCTTCCCACCATCTACCCATCCCTTCTCCCCGCCTCCCCAGGCTTCTAGTCAATGCCTATGAGTCTGCATCCAACCAGAGGGCCAAGGTTCGATCCCCTAGGCATAGTCTCAAGGAGATATATCTACCTCATATTGGGTGATGAGGCCATTTGGCTCCAGGGGTTCTTCCCACTTCAGAAAGATCATGTCCTCCAGAGGGGTGAAGGTCAGTGACTCTGCTGAGATTCCTCCAGGAACTATAAGGGAAACCCCATCCCAGACTTCAATTAGTCCAGCCATGATCAGGACGGATAGAGGTCAGAAGAGAGGAGAAATTTTCTGACAACAAAGGAGACCAAGCTCTCACAGATGCATTGGGAGCCTCCCTTCCCTGGAAATCTTTAAAAACAGGAGATGCCCTATTCAGCCAACAATCATGTATCAAATGACTTCCACGTGCCCGGCACAGAGCTAGGCACTAAGGATATTAAAGACAAAAACGAAACAATCCCTACTCACAAGAAGCTTTATATCTAACAGGTGAGACAACAAATACACCTATAAATACATGAAGCAAAAATATTGCCTGAATAAATCCAAATACAAGGGTGACCCAGTGGGTAGAGTGCCAGGCCTGGAGTCAAGAAGACCTGAGTTCAAATCTGGCCTCAGACACTTCCTAGCTGTGTGACCTTGGGCAAGTCCCTTAACCCTGTTTGCCTCAATTTCCTCATCTGTAAAATGAGCTGGAGAAGGAAATGGCAAACCACTCCAGTACCTTTGCCAAGAAAACCCCAAATGGGGTCACAGACAGTTGGACACGACTGAATAATAACAATAACAGTTTAGGAGCAATGGCATTAGCATTTGGGGATATCAAGAAAGGTTTCATTCGGAAGATGGTTCTTGAGGTTGATTGTAACCTCTATGAGGAGGAGTTGAGGAAGAAGCTTATTCTAGGTGTAGAATTCAGTCAGTGCAAAGATGGGAGATGGAGTGTCCAGTGTGAGGAACCTGCTGGAAATGCTACAGGAATAGCCCTAGGACAACACAGGAAGGGAAGAGGACATACTGGATGATTAAAAGAGGAAATTTCCAGGTAGAAAAACTGGAGCCAAATGAGGTAAAGTGCCACCATAGAGGATAAGGTGTTTCAGCAGAAAAGAATGCTCAGCTTCCCATTTCTCATCAGAGAGGTGATGAATACGGCATACATTGTCAAACATGGCCACAATGTTGAATTGTTTTCCGTAAGTATTCTTCCTGGTTATCAGGTAAGGTTTTTTTGGGAAAGAGGAGTCTTGAGGAAGTAAGAAAAGTGGCGAGTGGGGGGAAGAACATTAATAAAATCCTTTTAGAGGAATGGACTGCTAAAGGCAACAAAAAGCTTCAAGATCACTTAATTCAACCCTCTCATTGTATAGCAGAGGAAACAAAGTCCTAGCCAAGTGCCTTACTCAAGATTACAGCTGGTCAATGGGAAAACTAGAACCCAAGTCTCTTAACCACACAACATGGAATCTTTTAATGGATGTTTTGATTAATGTTTTTGTCCTGTATGCCAGAAAATTCTACTCTCCCTGGCCTGGAGGAGTTTACTTAGTAATGAATCAAGTCTCATGGGATATAGTGAAGGTCAGAGCCCCCAAAGGATAGTTACCCACTGAGGCACCATCTTGAAACCATGTCCCATGTGCTTGAAACTAAGCACACAAAATGCCTGGCCATGGAACTGGCCCCTTCTTGGTGGCCTGTGTATAAGTAGTAGGTCCTAAATCTAGAGCTGAAAGAGACTGAAGAGGTCATTGAATCTTATCCCCTCATTTTTGCAGATGGAGACATCAATGCCCAATGAAGTTAAGTATTGACCTCAGAGTCTGAGGTGGGATTTGAAATCAGGTCTCTCTGATGCAAAGTTCAGCACTTTATACCCTATGACACACTGAATATGAACTGATGCTGAGTGAAAAAATGCAGAACCAAGGAAACAATCCACACAAAAACTACAGCAATGTGTTATCCCTCCAGGGCCATGGTGCCTGTCTCATCACCCAGCCCAGACTGATGAATTCCTGGGATTTCCAGCAGACTGGGGAGAGAGGAGGCTCTCTAGTGTCACCCTGCGCCCTCTTGGCTTAGGGAGCAGGCCCTGACCCTAGACACCATCCCAGCATCCATTCAACCTAGAAGTGCTCTCCAATTAATGCCCTAATCATTAGGCTAATAATGAGGTTCCCCTAGGGGAAAACTTCAAACTGGGATTGAGCCACCCCAGTTAAGCGTGGATTTTGTTCCCAGGCTGGGGAGGGAGGTGGAAGCTATTCAGTGAGCCCAGATAGTCAATTGCTCTTCAAGAAAGGCTGATGAATGATTGTTAGAGTCAAAAACTCACCAAGCACCTCTAATGAGCATGGGCAGGAACTTGCTCCCAACCTCCATGAGTTTATCATTGGGGGGGGGGGGGGGAAGCATGCCTGGCAGCTGCAGGAAAACATCCTCCAAACTCACTAATACATACTCTCTGACCACAGTGATAACCACAACTATGCCTGTACACACTCAGAGACCAAAGAAAGGGGAAAAGGACTCCCATGTACAAAAAATATTTATAGCTGCTCTTTTCGTGGTAGCACAGAATTACAAGCCAAGAGGGTGTCCATTAACTGGAGAATAGCTGAACAAGTTATAGTATAGGAAAGTGATGGAATAACTATTGTGCTGTAAGAAATGATGAAGGGAATGGTTTCAGAGAAACCTGAAAAGACCTGTATGAACTGATGCAGAAGGAAGTGAACAAAACCAGAACAATTTACACAATAACAATATTATAAGGACAAACAACTTCGAAAGACTTTAGAACTCTGATCAAGGTAATGATCAGTCACAATTCTAGAGGAGCTATGGGGAAAACACATCACCCACCTCTTGACAGAGAGGCTATGGACTCAGGGTATAGACTGAGATACATGGTTTTGGACACAGCCAGTGTAGAAATCTGTCTTGTTTGACTATGCATATTTGTTACCAGGAGTTTTTCTTTTTTTTTTTCTTTCAATAGCAGGGCAAGTAGGAGGGATAGAAAATAAATACTCAAAAGAACTAGAAATAAAATAGATGCCCACAGATTGGGGAATGGCTAAACAAAATGTGCTATATAAATGGAATGGAATGGAATAGAATATTACTATGCTTTAAAAGGCAGCTGGTGGCCCATGGATAGACCACTGGGCCTGGAGTCAAGAAGACTTGAGTTGAAATCTGGCCTCAGATACTTCCTAGCTGTGTGACCCTAGGCAAGTCATTTAACCTCTGTTTGCCTCAGTTTACTCAACTCTAAAATGGGGTCACAATAGCACCTACCTTCCAGGGTTGTTGTGAGTACCAAATGAAATAATATTTTTAAATTGCTTAGCATACTGCCTGGCACATAATAGGCATTTCATGAATGCTAAATTCCTTCCCCTTCCCTTCTCTCCTTTAAGAAATGAAGAACATTACAAAGAGAGAAGCATAGAAAGATGATGCAGAGTAAAGTAAGCAGAGCCAAGAAAACAATACACATAATGACTACCACAATGGAAACGGAAGGAACAACCGTAAAACTAGTGAAAATGAATGTTGCAGAATTACAAAGAACAAGCCTGGCCTCAGAGACAGGGCGAGAGAGAAGACACCTGCCCCCACTCCAGGGGTAGGGGTGGGGAGAACAGCCAGGGACACTGCATAAATCTTCAGAATCTTTCTATATATCAATTTTGCTGATTTTTTTCCCCTCATTTTCTTTAAAAAATATTCTTCGCTGTATGAGATGTTTCTTTGGGAGGGGGGAGGGAGAAAGGGAAGGATACTGAGAAACTTTGGCAATATGAAAACAAATTATATCAATAAAAGTTCATTTTTTTAAAAATATAATTATTCGGGGGCAGGTAGGTGGCACAGTGGTAGAGCACCGGCCCTGAAGTCAGGAGGACCTGAGTTCAAATCCGGCCTCAGACACATAATACTAACTAGCTGTGTGACCCTGGGCAAGTCACTTAACCCCAATTGCCTCACCCAAAAAAAAAAAAGTTATCTCTGAGTTCAAATCTGACCTCAGGCACTTGACACTTACTAACTGTGTGACCCTTGGCAAGTCACTTAACCTCCATTGCCTCACCAAAAAAATATATATATGTATACAATTATTCACTGAAAACTATTTTTAAGAGTATTGCAGTTGGAAGCAGAAGAGCTTGGAATTCGGTCCTGGGTTTGCTACTTAATGACTATGGAGCCTCCAGGAAAATAAATGAATGAATGAATAGATAGATAAATGAATAAATGAATGGATAGATAAAGGAATATATTAATGAATAAATAGACAGATAAATGGATAAATAAATGGAAAGATAAAGTAATGAATGGATAGATAAATTAATAAATGGATAGGTAAATAAAGGGATGAATGAATAGATAGATCAATACAGAGATAAGCAAATGAATGAGTAAATAAAGATAACATTTATATAGCACTGACTATGTGCCAGGCACTGTGCTAAGTGCTTTACATATATAAATTCATTTAATCCTCACAATAACCCTGGGAGGTAGGTGCTATTATTATTCTCCTTTTACAAATGAGGAAACTGAGGCAAACAGAGGTTATGACTTGCCCAGTCTCACAGTTAGTAAGACTCTGAAGCCAGATTTGAACTCCAGGCTGGCACTCTATCGACTGCACCACCTAGACCGGAGCCTAAAACAGACAGGAGGATCAGCCCCAGGCCCAAGCAGGAGCCTCTCCAGGAGGCAGCCCAACGCCTGAAAGGAAGGCAAGGGGCAGGGGAGTCACAGCTGCTTTTGCTGTGTCTGCAGCTTCTGCTCCAGCTCTGTGTCATCCGGAGCCTGGAAGCTCCCAGACACAACCTCCATAAGAGGGAGAGAGCTGGGCAGGACGCAAAAAGGGTGCTGCCGAGGCAAAGCCTCTAGGCTTTTAGCCAAGTCTCAACTCCCCCGTGCCCCATTTCCCTTTTACTTGAGAGGGCTCTGAACATTTTGGAAGTATCAGAAGTAGCACCCCAAGAGGAGAGACCGAGACCCTCTAATTTTCCCTGGATTTCTAACTCCTCTTAGGATCACACACTTAGAACTGGAAGGGAGCTTAGAGATCACCACTAGAAGGTAAACCCCTTGAGGGCAGGAGCCATTTCATTTTTCTCTTTGTATCAGCATCCAGCTTGTTGTCTGGTACATAGTAAGTACTTACTCAATTCTTGTT